TCAAAACAGTTCCAGTCTGTGGGGGTATTTTTCAGCTAAAGAATGATTGAAGTGAACGTGTGCCCGAGCCACATCTCACTCATCATAAAATGGCATTTTCTGACAGAAGGAGGAGCCACAAATGAGAGCGAGCGTGGACCGGTGATTATTCTTTTCTCCCATAACCCATAATCAGCCAGAGGAGCGAGTCTTCTGCTCGATATCTTCACAAACACATCAGATGCAATTAGAAAGCTGTAGCTGTCTCCTGGAAATAGGGGCAATGAACCAAAGCAATTGAACAAAACTAGGTGCCTGGAAGAGCGCCGAGACTGCGTGGTTTTTGGTTCAGTGGCCAAACGGGGGGGGGGGCAATACATTTTTGAGTTAACCTGAATTGAAAATGTTTCAATTTTTCCAGTGAAGCAAAAAGTTGGAAAAATTAAGAGCAGATTGCTTTGTCTTTTAAGCTTTTCTTTTGTATTTTCTGTTCCATTTCTTTCTCAACTGCTTTTAAGGGAAATTTCAAAGTCGTGTTTGATCCATCCCAGCCTATGGGTTTTATAGTGGAAAAACACAGAAGTTTTACCCCAAAATACTTTGTCTGTTGCCAAGTGGTGGGAGGAAAATGAGGTTGGCCCTTCCAGAGGTGTGAATTATGAGCTGGGTTTTAAAGTAAGGTTGAATCATTTCAGCTGAGAACCGGTCCTTTTGTCCTCGATGGGACATTATTCACCGGCGATGCTGTTCGCAGGGTGTCCTTGTGGGCAATTGGCTCGAGGATGGGACTCTTCATTCTGCTTCTTGGAGTTCTCAATGGCAACAACTCACAATGGAAATAAACCAGAGCAGACACCAGGGAATTCTTTAAGGCTCCTTTGTTTGGGGTTTCTTTTTTCCCTGCAGAAGCAGCAGATTTAGTTACGCTGCCTATTGGATCCATATTGATGCTACTGAATCTTCCTCTTTAAAAGACAAGAAGATATTACAGCATTTAGAGCCCCGGTTCAGCGTTGGCAGAGCTCTGCTTCAAGTTCCCTTTCAGGAACTGTGTTACATTTACCTAACCTGTCCTCAAAAGACTGGAGCACAAAAGGAAGCGGCTGACATTTAGAAGGATTTTTAGCTTGCTGCGTTGCACTGGTTCGTGTTTGTTTTGTTTTCTGAGCGGTTTCCTCTGTATCTACTGAGCATTTAACTGGGAAATGGAAGGGGGAGAAAAAGCAGCATTTTGGTATCTCACAAACTAGATGTGTGAAACAAAGCTCTGCGTTAGTGAGCAGGACTGGATAAAGAGTCCCTTTGCTGCTCACAACATGTTCCTGTGCTGTGCTTCAGAGAAGCAGAGAGGTGCCAATCACCAGCATTTGCCCCAGCAGCTAAAGAGAAAGATGTCAGAACCTAAAGGGAGGGTGAATTTCACTGCCGTGGGACCTGTCCTCTGCCTGCTGTCCTCTCATGTGTTCTGTAATGAAAGCCAGCCACATCCTGGGCTGCGTCAAAAGGAGCGTGAGCAGCAGGTCAAAGGACCTGATCCTGCCCCTCTGCTCTGCTCTGGTGAGACCCCTCTGGCAGCACTGTGTGCAGTTCTGGTGTCCTCGGCAGCAGAAGGGCATGGAGCTGTTGGAGCAAGTGCAGAGGAGGCCACGAGGATGCTCAGGGGCTGGAGCAGCTCCTGTGTGGAGACAGGCTGAGAACATTGGGGCTGTTCAGCCTGGAGAAGAGAAGCTGCGTGGAGACCTCAGAGCAGCTTCCAGTGTCTGAAGGGGGCTACAAGGATGCTGGAGAGGGACTCTTCATTAGAGACTGTAGGGATGGGACAAGGGGTGATGGGTTCAAACTGAAACAGGGGAAGTTCAGGTTGGAGATAAGGCAGAAGCTCTTCCCTGTGAGGGTGCTGAGGCACTGGCACAGGGTGCCCAGAGAAGCTGTGGCTGCCCCATCCCTGGCAGTGTTCAAGGCCAGGTTGGACACAGGGCCTTGGAGCAAGCTGCTCTAGTGGAAGGGGTCCCTGCCCGTGGCAGGGGTTGGAGCTGGAGGAGCTTTAAGGTCCCTTCCAACCCAAACCATTCTGTGACATGGGTGGAAGAGCAGAGATTAATCTTACAGAGGCTGTGAGCTATGTAATGATGGGAAGAGATGCAGATATGCTGGGCTGTGTGCAAGGCAAATATAACAAATTGGAGAATCGAGCTGAAAAAAGCTGGGATGTGATTGAATCAGGACAAGCCTCAAGCCTGCGCCTGGGAAAGGTAATCCAGAAGTGTGGGATGGAGAACAGCTGGCTTGGCAGATGTTGTGCAGGAAAGGATGGGGAATGTGTAGCTGATGTGAAGCCACACATGATTCAGCAATGCCAGGCACAGGGGAAGAAGCAGATGCATGAGGGAGCATAAGTAACTGTATCAGCCACAAGGCACGTGGGTGAGCCTTCCACCAGTAAGGCCACATGTGCATGGGGTTTTTAATGCATTACTTGGAGAAAACTGGATCAGTGGGAAGGCATTCAGAGGACAATAGGGACTATCAGCAACCCTCAAAACACAGTGTAAAGGTAAAATGAGTTCATAGCAACTATTTAACTTGAAAACATGGCAAGGCAGCGATCTTCAAATATGAAAAAGGCGAAGAAGGGGAAAATTTATTCGTCATGATTTTGGTGAACAAGTGAAGAAGAAATGGGCTTAAATTGCAGCAGGAAGGATTCGGGTTAGGTATTAGACTCTCTTTAAAGCTGGCATTGTGAAGTGCTGGAGCTGATTGCCCAGGCAAGGTGCAGAGCTGAAAGGCTTCAGGAGGTCACGCAAGCAGCTGTCAGGAGTGGGTTAGGCAGCATGTTATGGCTTGAGGCAGAGGAAAGACCCACTGACCTCCTGAGATCCCTTCCTGCCCCTTTCCTTCCCTTGCAGTAGCAAGTGTCTGCTCTTTCCCAGCTCAGCAGGGCTCCTGGAGAAAGCACTGCTGTCAGAAAATGAGCTTTCCTCCCCTCTTTATCCCGTGCTGGCTGTGCTATCAGCATTTCAAATGTGATTTTACTCAGCAGTCACCACCTGAACCATCTGAGGCTTAACTATGGGTTCAAACCTAGCCGTTTTGGTTTTCCACATTGCCATCAATGCAGATGGCCATGTGTTGTAAACTGCCTAGGAGAGAGGAGCCGGCTTTGTTTAACTCGGGTGCTCTGATGCATGGTTCACACTACACTTTATAGTTCAGGTTAAACACACAGAAATAGAGGTTACCCGCTTCTAATCTGAGCAAAGAGCGGAGCTGTACTTTACTACTGAACTACTCAGCTCTTTGTGGACATGAAAAGGGTTTTTATTTGGCTTTTGAGGTTTATTTTACAGCTCTGTTTTACATACAGAGAGCTTCGTTCATGGTTCCAGTTCATAGCTCAGGTACAAGCCATTGAAAAAGATGTGGCCAAAGGGAATAGTCTGGAAGCTCTTCACAGCTTCAGATCTACTCCAAGTCTAACATGGGAGGTCTGTGAAGCTTCAGGTTTGATGGGGCTTGCTCCTAAATGTTTACCCCCAACGTAAAAACCTAAAGAAGAGAGAGAGCTGTTCAGCAGATTCAGGATCCAGAGAAGATGTGAATGCTCTAGATCTTGGTAATTAAATCCTCACTTCTAAAGCAAGCGACGTGAATGCCTGTTTTGAATGTAGGTGTCGGAGCTGTCGGTTTTAGTGTTGAGAACCATATAAATCACAGACTGCTTTGGGTTGGAAGGGACCTTAAAGCTCATCCAGTTCCATCACCTTCCACTAGAGCAGGTTGCTCCAAGCGCCATCCAACCTGGCCGATAAATCTCATTCCACCAGCACTGGATGAATTCTCTAGAAATAATTGGGATTTAAGATTTGAGATTCATTCTGATATTTCTTCCTTAATCTTTTTCCTGCCCATCAAAATAGCCTAAAATAATAGACATCTTATTATAAACACAATAAATAGCTCAAACTACATTTCAAAAGTAATGAGAATTCGGAGCCTGTTCTTTTGAACCTGTGTCCTGGGTTCAGCAGTAGCAGTCATGTTTCTCCTTCTTGGTAGCTGGTGCAGTGCAGTGTTTTGACTTTCAGATCGGGAACAGAGCTGATAACAAGGATATTTTGGTTTGGCCAAGGACTCTGTGAGGCTCATGCTCTGCCAGGGAGGAGGGGGAGCCAGGAGGAAGCAGAGACAGGACACCTGACCCAAACTGACCAAAGAGGTATTCCATACCACAGCACGTCATGCCCAGGAGGTAACTGGGGGTTAGCCGGAAGGGCGGGGAGACTGCAGGGTTGGAGGAGGTATCGGTCAGAGCTTGGTCGGGCTGGGGGGGCGAGTTGTCGGTCGGCTGGTGGTGAGATGATGTATTCTCTTCCCTTGTTATTTCCTTTATCATTATTATCATTGGTGGTAGCAGTAGTGATTTGTGTTATACCTTAGTTACTAAACTGTTCTTATCTCAACCCGTGGGAGTTGCATTCTTTTCGATTCTCCTCTCCGTCCCTCCGGGAGCAGGGGGAGGGCAAGAAAGGGGGGGAAGTGAGTGAACGAATTACCTGACTGGGTTTAAACCACGACAACCTGCTCACTCCACTCCTATTGAGCTATCTTGTGTTGATGAAGCCAGACCCCTTTCTCATTGAGCCTTACCAGAAGGCTTCACATTTGAAATTCTTCGGTGTTTCCAACACTAAAGGGATTCTAAGAATCAAGAGCTTAAAAGGAAACAAAACCAAACCCAGCGAGTTGTGATGAGCCATTTCTTGTCTTCTCAAAGTACTTTGACATCTTTGAAACAAAAGGAGAAAATAGAAAGAAATGGTTTGGAAAGTCTGTGCGTCAGAAACGTAACTGCAATGGATGTGCCCCTGTGAAATGGTTAGATCATGGCAAAACTGTGCTTTCTGGTTCCAACTCAGGTGTCGCGTCTCTTTAGACCAACACTAACACTGAGCAGGGAGTGCAAACTGAGGGCTGACGTTAACGGGAGGATGATACACCTTGTCTTTGCTTTTATCCAGGAGAGACCAAAGTGCAGGAGACAACGTGGGCCAGCAGAAGGCAATGGCAGAGCAGAGAAACAAGAATGGCAAGGTCAGTGGTACCAAACATCAAGGGCAAAACCCTTTGATCTCCATCATCTTCCGAGCGCGGCACACTCAGGAGCATCCCGCTGCCACCAGCACTGCTGGATGGGTAGTAGGGAGCCCATTATCGCTCAAAAATCTCCTAGGAAGGCATTTTTGTCTGTGCATTGGAAGATTGAGCTAAATGCTGGGAGCTATTAGCAGACAATTAAAGCTAATGTTGCAGCCAGCAGAAAGAGCCCAGTTAGTCACTTTACTCAATTTAAATCTTTGACAATTTCCACAGTTCTAATCAAGGAATAAAACAGAAAATACATATAGATGTATGGATGTATATATCAGAGCGTTAACTTTCATTGTCAAATCAAGGCCAAAATTGCTGAATGAGGTAAATATGAGGAAAAATGTAATAGACTATTAGCACAATATAGCTTGTGGCTTTCATTTCCAAGTGATAGTCGCACAGCCCTCGCCCCCACACGCTTTGGGATATTTAAGGGTACAAAATAGTAATGTTTGAGATGGATGAAATAATCAAGTGAAAGACATAAAAATCTGCAATGAACAAGTTGTAGGGGGCTGGGATTTGTTGGGGAGCCTTTCTTTGTCTGGAGATAAAATAGAAGAGTGTTGTGTTAGTCTCAAGAAAGAGACTAGAATCATGAAAGGTATGTGCAAAAATAGCTTGGTACATGAATAGGAAGGCAAGAAGAACATCTGGGGTGTATGTAAGGAAAACAAAAGGCAGCTAAAGGAATACTGAAGAAAGAGAAATGCAGCCCAGGGCGCAAGGGCTGTTTCATTAGAGGAGCAGTTAGATGGACAAAGTGAAGATAACAGGAGGAAAAGCAGAGGTGTGCTCCCCAAGGAGCTGACAGGTACGGAGGCAGCCACACAGTAACAGGCTAATTTCGGGTTTTCTTGTTCGTGTCAGCTGTCAAAGAAACAACCTCACTGCCTGTTCGGGTTGTGGAGGGCATTAGAGTTGTTCATTCGGGGAGATGCTGAGGCACAGCCCTGGTTTTCCAGTACTTTGGCTCTCTGGTGTGACGTTGCCATCAGGAGGGAGATGTCCGTGTGGAGGTCTGGCTAAAAGGGGAGCTATAGTAAGACAACCAAGCAAAGCAACCCCATATTTGCACACTCTGGACAAGGATTAGAGGTTTTGTTGCCTGGGGTCTCCTGGGAGCCTTCTTTGAAGCAAGTCAAACCTGGATGTTGTCTAGGAGACAAAATATTGTCAAACTTGGCTTCTTTTCCTGAATAAAGCAGTTCTGTCCTGTATAGCCTTGAGCTAGATACCTCACTGGCTTCTTCATAGAGATAGCTCTTTCTTACCACGCATGGGTAACGCACCAGGCCCACTGGAGCCCTAGTATTTTCTGACATCTCCAGCCGACAAGCTCCCTTGTCATTGATCATGGTTTCTTGCACAGCAGGTTGTTTCTGCCAGAAGGAAAGGCAGCCCAGCACAGTGAGAGCTCTTGCATGTTAGAGCATCTTCTGCACTTCCCAGCTGTCAAGGCACAGAAAGCAAGAGAGGAAAGACAGGGCAGTGGCCTCGAGCTGTTCATGCCGCATCCTGAGCCCCAGAGACCATGATGAATGGGTTCCTGGAGCAGTGAATCAACACTGCCCACCTGAGCCCTCCTTCCCCATCACTGAAATACCAAGTGATAGCTTTGTCTTTGCAGAACCACCAGGGAAGAGCACAGCCTGTGTCTGTTTGACAGCCCAGTGTGCCTGGCTCAAGATACGTGCACACCAGGCATTTTGGCATGAAATTACAGCTCAAGGCAGCAAAGAGTTTCCAGTGCTGGATGTCATTGCAGGAGTTGGCTGCTCCAGAAACCTGAACGTGGGTGGCAAACTCTCCTTCGTGTTCGACACATTGCCCAAATGCTGCAGGCTTTGGCGTGGGCCAGGTTTGCCATCGGTCCATCGTGTCTTGACTAAGCTTTAGAAGATCCTGCGTAGGCTGAAGGTCAGAACTGGAGAGCTACAGCAAGCAGCAGTGTCAGGATCAGTGGTTCTGTGGGATGCAGGGAAGCAGGCTGGAAACCACATGTATGAGCTATTTGATGAGTTCTTCAGGAAACACTGCCTAGGTTGGGAATACCCAGGCAGGAGCATCAGAGGCCACCTCACATTACAGCCAGGGGCACGAGAAGCTTAATGACAGGTCTCCAAACTTCTTCACATTAGGTATTAGGCAGAAGCTCTTCCCTGTGAGGGTGCTGAGGCGCTGGCACAGGGTGCCCAGAGAAGCTGTGGCTGCCCCATCCCTGGCAGTGTTCAAGGCCAGGTTGGACACAGGGGCTTGGAGCAAGCTGCTCTAGTGGAAGGTGTCCCTGCCCGTGGCAGGGGCTGGAAATAGATGAGCTTTAAGGTCCTTTCCAATCCAAAGCAGGCTGGGATTCTATGATTGTGATTCCAGTCCTCATGGGAGAGATGCAGTTCTTCACAGCTCAACTGAGGAGCTGTGGGAGACGCGGTTTCCTTGTATCAGCACATTTCAAAATGTCAGTGGCAATTGGAATCAAATGCTGCAGTGCTGGAACAGCCACAGTAGCAGTATAACAATAACAGTGATATTATCATGGAGCTAAGTGCCTCCATTAAGACACTGCACTCTTAGGGCGCACCTGCTTGAGAAGTTTGTGTTCCTGCTTGCTGAGCCATTAATACTGATGCATGGCCCTCAGGGAGGTGGGGATGTTGCTCTGGAAGTGATCAGTATCATTCTGTTTGTTTCCTAACATCATCCACCCTCATTAATTTGCCTTCCCTGCCCTGACCTTCCCTTCGCTGTCACCACCAGCTTTTCAGGGAGTCTCTTTCTCAGCCCCTGTGAATATATTCCTGCCCCATAGAGATGGCTCCCCATCTGGGGGAACCAGGAATACTTTACTGGATAAAGTAGCTTGTCCCTTCTGCATTATCCTCCACGATCCCCTGAAATTCACTGGAATAGGGTATCTGTGGCCAAAATGCATCACCCTCCCTCCTCTTTGTACCCACATCCAGGAAGGGAGCAGCAAGTCTCCCACAAGTGGTGATTTCCTGTCATAGCCCACTCAGCCCAGGGGTGATGAGGGGTAGAAAAGCAAAGCCACCAGCCTTTGTTTGTAAAGCAGGTTGGGGTCATCCCTGTTTCTTGTATTTCTTGGGGTTTGTATTTCTGTTTTAACACTACCAGTAACTCCCAGGTGTTCTGGTAAAGCATCAGAGGTAAGGAATGACACATGATGGTTTCTCACCCAGCAAACTCATGATGTATTTGAAATGATGCCAAGGTGGGGGGGGAAATACGTACACTGGTGTGGCTATAATGCTAAGGGGGCAGACAGCTTTGTAGGGAGCATACAGGAGAAATGTGCATGAATATGTTAACAGGGTTAAGCTGCAAACCCACACGCATCACCAGCTAGAAAAGGCACATGGGGCCTTGTAGTGAAAGGGGAGCTGAAGCATCCTCCTGACCCATAATGGAACGACCATACTCCAGTGTTAACAAGGGGCTGACTTCTCTGTTATTAGCCAGGCATTTGAAGGGCAGGATGCATCTATCCTGCATCTGTTCTCCAGGTCAGCGACCTGCTGTTACATGCAAATGCGCCGAGGAAGAGGTCAGCGAAGGAAAGTACCAAAGGGCTGCAGGAGAAGGGAGGAGGGATCCAGATGGATGTCAGGAGCTGAAAGGAACCTCATGTTTTCCAGGCAGAGAGGTTGGCAGCCTGAGCAATGATTCTTTTCACACCTGCGAGAACTGGTGCCAGACACACAGATGATGGCATGGCTGGGCACAGAGAAGTGAAGTATCGACCGGTGATGGGGATAGCAGAGGCCCATCAATCTAAGTCACCAAGGGAAGGAGAGCCATTGTCTTGCACACGTTCTCGCTCACACGCTTATGGAGAGATTTGTAATTGCTTTGCCAGTTTGGCTCCAGTCTTCCACTGAGTCATCATCCAGCCACTCGATCATTTCTAAGTAAAGGGCTGTCAGTGCATCCCACCAGCTTGAGCGAAGAAGTGCTTTGGTCCCAGATAATCCCTCCAAACCTTTCTGTCCGTGCAGTGCTAAGACGAGGCTGTGTTCCCTCTGTAGTCAGTGGAGAAGAGATGAGTTTCTCCAGGGGGTGACTCATCCTTTCCTAACAAAGGTGCTTAAGATATTGTTGCTGAACTGGCATGTCTGGGTTTCCCTAGAGAGCCTGGCTGGCCAGCTTAGACATGGGCTTGCATTACAGCAATTGATACTGCTCTCCCAAGTGATGGCAATAGTTCTCATTCAAGATAATCCCTTTTTCCTGTTCTCTGCTTTTCAGTGTAGCTGCAGGAAAGAGAATTGTTGCTTTGGGGCTGCTGCACTGGCAGTCTCAGAAACCAGAGAGTCTCTTGGTAGGTCCTCCATTGTTTTCTGTGTATCTAGACCCTGCCATAATACAGCATGATGGATGTTCCCTTTTTCCCCACCTTTCTTCTGTTTCCTCCATTTGGATGACATCAGTGTAAGGCTTACTCAATGTAACTGCAAAGGTATAGGCTCTTCTCTAACATTTTGGCTGTCACAGCTTTGCTTTGCTAGGATGTGTGGTTTTTACAGGTGGTAGCTGTACACTGTCCAAGCATGGCAGTGTCTGGTTACTTGCACCACCATTACCGCTCCAGGCCTGGTGTCCTTTTGGGCAATAGTCCCCCTGATACAGCATTCCCCCCCCCTGTTCTAAGCACAAGTGTTATACCTGTGGGATCAGCATACACATATCCTCAAAAATAGCTTTTTGATAGCAAGTTATGGGAGCAGACTGCCCAAAGTCACCTGGCCAGCGTGGAGAACTCCATTGACATCAGCCAAATCCACAAGCCACCTGATTTCATTGATCAATCACAATGCTTTTTCCTGCCAGAGACCTTCAAACTCTGCCAAAATGGCTAAGACAGACCCAAAGTGCTGCTATCCATGTGATGACTCCATTGCCTCCAGGCACAGCCTCCGTTGGCTCAGCGAGGGAGCTACAATCCAGTGCCTGGGGAGGATGCGGCCAGTGCAGACTTGCTGACCAAGCCCTATAAAAGTGAGCAGGTCTTGCCAGGGAGACATTAGGGGATGATGAATGAACACAGCCAATGAAAGAAGGGAGAAGGGGGATCAGGGGAATAGATTTGCTCAATTGAAAGCATATTAAACGTTTGCTCCTGCTTGAAACAGCAAGGTTGGCAAAGCCTAGCATGGGCCAGTGGCGTGGGTTAAGTGAGAAGTCCATGGACCCATAAATTGTACATCATCTATATTCAGATGTACAGGCTTGTAGCCTCTCTGGTCCAGCGAGCCCAGTAATGAAAGACTTTAGAGCTGCCCAGGACATAAGATCAAGTGCCCCTGGTTGTTCTAGCTAGATTTTAGATGAGGATTTATTTTGTTCCTGGCATTTTCAGTGTGTACCTCTCCTTCTCAGCCACGGTGCAAGCTTTCTGCAGAAGTGAGAACCTTGAGGGATGTTCAGGAGAGACTTTTATCCCGTGAGTAAAGCC